GTGAATCTGATTCCTTTTAACAGTCGACAAATGAAAGGATGTTGGGAGACTGGGGAACCTTCCAATCCTTGATGTCCTGAGGAAATAGCCGATCTGTAAACATTGACTATGCTTTATGCTTTACCCAATTCAAATTGACCATCAGGAATTGTAGTGTTACATTCAGAGGGGCATAAACTGAATCCATTAATCGTTCCATGCACCAGCCAGCCCATGCTCGCCATGCGGGCCGATAGGAAGATCTAGTACCCCGGGCCCAGGCATTGTCCAGGAGATCTGCAGTTGTTTGTGGAACGTTTGCGATTGTTCAGGGACTCCGGAAACTAACCATGCCTTGAGCTAAAGCAGGCCTTGATTTATCAGGTAGTGCGACCTGTCATCTGGTTTGAGAAGCAGATTCGGGACCATTGGTATCAGATGCAAGAAATCCAATGACATTTCCAGAAGTCGAGGGAACCAAGGTTGTATCTGCCACAGTGGAGCAACCATCACCAGAGAACATTCATGTCTGCACAGGTAAGATTGCGTCTGAGAGATGAGGTTGAACGGGGGAAAGGTGTAGTGTCGTGAGGGTGGCCACATCTGTAGGAAGGCTCCCACTGCCAGTACAGTTGGATCCGGACGCCAACTGTAGTACTAAGGTAGTTGGGAGTTCGGTCTGGACGCGAACAGGTCCTAGGTTTGCCAGCAGCTTCAATTTCATGTCTTCTAGGTGATTGATACATCGCACTGCTGACACATTGTCCATAGGGAGCAGGATACAACAATTCCCCAGGTCGGGTGTAAGACTGTGAATGGCGATTGATACCACCAACAATTCCAGACAGTTGATGTGGAGCATAGATTTCTCTGTTGACCATCTGCCAGCTGTGGAAACGTTCACACAACGTGCACCCCAACCATATAAGCTGGCATCTGATTCTAAATTCATGTCCGGAGCGGATCTGAATATTGCTTGGCTATTCCATGCTTCCATGTGGTTGAGCCACCACCTCGGTTCTTCCCGTGATTCTGCATCCGGTATCAGTCGAGAATGCGAAAATGAAACTTGTTAAAAATTCTCACTTTAAAAGTTGAAATGGTCTCTTATATGGCACTGTAACTACACAGAATATTGCAAAAATAATATATTGTGGTTCTAGGTGCAGTGGTCTTGTCCTTTTTTTCCTATTTTGTAGATACAGCCATGTTTTCATTGCAGGGTTAAATACACCTTGAGTAACTGTCTTCCTGATAGCCATCTAAATGTGCTTTTATTGCTAAACTAAGTCAGACTCGGTTATGTGATATTAGACATTCCCAGGCATTGCATGAGGACATCCAATGTCCTAATACATTTTCATGCAATGCCTAAAAATGTCTAATGTCACATGACTGAGTCTAACTCGGCTGTTGTAGTGATAGCTTATCATAGGAAATTACAGTGGGCTAATTCTCCCACCCATGAAGCTGGCAAAACCCTCGATCTCATCTTCTCTTATGCATGTACAGTGTCTAATATCTGCAACATTCCATTTACTCTCTCTGATCACCACCTCCTATCATTTGCTCTCAAGTACCCCCTCACACAACAAGCTCAGCCTAACACCCCTCAACTCAGGAGGAACCTTAATTCTATTGACCTCCAGCAGCTGTCAGCTGATATTGATTCATAACTCCTATCCATCCCTTCCCTCTCCTGTCCCTCACTGGCCACTCCACATATAACACTACACTCACCTCTGCCTTGAATGCTGCAGCCCGGCTCTAAAAAAAAAAGCACCTCAAGGAGGACACGCCCCCAACCGTGGCATACTAAATTAACACGCTACCTGCAAAGATGCTCCCGTTGTGCTGAACGCTCCTGGAGGAAGTCTTGCACTCAGGCAGAATATCTCCAGTATAGATTCATGTTGCTTTCATACAGCGCAGCCCTTGCCCACGCCAAACAGTCATACTTTTCCTCTCTCATTAGTTCACGCTCCTGCAATCCCAGGCGTCTCTTTGACACCTTTAATTCTCTTCTTCGCCCTGCTGTGGCCACCCCCTAAACTAACCTTACTGCCGATAGCTTTGCATGTTAGTTACCAATAATTGATTTCCCTTCGTTTGCCCCAAGCAGATATCTACCCATAAAGCATCCACATTTTCCTTGTAAAATAACTAATCTTTAACAAATTATTTACTGTACAGGAAATAGAAACAAAAATAGATGAATGGATAGGATGTTTCAATAATGATAGTAGGCTTTCCAATTTGATGTCATTTGCTCTAATCGAGACTTATACAAAATATGTATATTTTATTTTTATATTAATATAAACATATTAATGCTCTATTCAAAGAACATTCTGGAGATATTTTGATACACAATGTGTGATAACACGTTTTTACAATGCAACGAGATATTGTTCAAGGCTGCAGGCAAAATAACGATGTTCTGCATTGTAAGTGATAATTTATTTTACACTTAGACAGGTAAAGATTTAAATGAACAGCCGTGGTTTGAATGTGATTTGATTCGGTCACTATGGTTTCCTTTGTATGTTTTTAGTTCATGTTTTGTTAACAAAAGCAAACATGGTTACTTGAAATACTTAATGAACTGAACAAGCTAATAAAATGTGTAAATAAAAACATAAATCAACTGTTTTAACGGCTGTTTGTTGTTGGCTTTCTCTAGTGCGTCGCAAGACTGAAATATAAATATTGGTTTCACTAGTAACATATACATAGTGAAAAAGCTCTGTGACTCTCCATGCACAACTCTTTGTTAATACATGCTATGGTGACACTGATAGCCCATGGTGTATTCCAGTGTCATCACCCGGTTGGTATCATGCTGGAACTTCATGACCAGATATAAAGGAGAAGAATAGGTATATGTCTGACGAAATCTGTCAGCCAAGGTTGGGAATACACTACTACCATGAACTAGTGAAGGAAACTACAATTTGTCTGGGAACATTATCTCATCGCAATCACTATTCCACATGGGCTATAGCTGCTGTAACACAGTTTCACACAGTTATTGACTAAAGCGAAAATTGCCAAGATAAAAAACAAAAAGAGAAACATTTTTCTTAGGAAAATGTAAAAATCTTTTATTAGTAATATCTTACAATCAAAATATAAACAGCTAGAGCAATGATATAAAAAAACCTACAATTAGCTAATAATGAGCATATATAGCTAAAAAGGAGATTGTCAGCTGCTGTAACAATTGAGGATAGAAAACCCCTGCAACAAGTTATCAAGACTAAAACAATATATAATATAGCAACTACCCAAGATAACGTTGCTAACTAGAGAAGGATAACGGATTTAAAATCATTACTGTGCAACATGGAGGGACTATAGGGGGATAGAGTAAATGTACTATACAAAAGAATAGAAGAAACATTTGAAAAATAAGGAGTACCTCAGGAGGAAAGAAAATTCCCCTAAAGCAATATGCTAGAATGGCATTAGTATACATAAATCTGAGAAAACCCTACTGTGCCTTTGAGGGCACCTGTATCTAAAGCTTATGCAAAATGAATAGCTCTCTGGTTCTAAATATCCAGAATCTCATATAACAATTACGTAAGCTGTGCAGGAAATCTGCCAAAATAAATAACACTTACCAAAGTATCACATTACGTATCATAGATAGTTGAATACAAATTGACCCAGGCCAGGAGTAACTGTAATAACAGAATCACTATGCTCATAAATGAAGGTTTTTTAGTATCACTTTAATGGCCATTCAAGTGTCAGCTCACCTGCCATGTCAAGGCAAAACCTCTCAGGTGAGTCGTACACAATTAACAATTATACTAAAATAAAACTTACATTTGTAAATGTGCATAGGGATTTGGGATACTGCGCAATTAACTTTTTTCTTTGTTTTTTATTGTATGTATTGTGGCTCATGTCTACTATAATAATACCTGCCACCCAAAAGTAGTGGGAGATTTTGTTAAATGTTGCTGATTTTGCTAAAATTTCAATTTTAAGAAGAAAGTCAATGATTATGAGTCATGGTAGGGTAGAGACAGCATTACACCGAAAACGTACAGCTTCAAATAGATTTTTAATTGGAAAAGTCACCACCCCTATAAACTTAAGTCAGGTATCCCTTATGGTCAATCTATGAGAGACAAAAGGAAATGATTGATAAAGCTTTCCTAAAAGAAGTTAAAGAATTCAAATTAAAGGGACACTGCAGGCACCCAGACCACTTCTGCCCATTGGAGTGGTCTGGGTGCCAACTCCCACCAACCTTAACCCTGCAAGTGTAATGATTGCAGTTTTTATAAACTGCAGTAATTACATTGCAGGGTTAAGTCCTCCACTAGAGGTTGTCTAAAAAAAAACTTTTGTGTTCTTAGAACACAAAAAGTGTTTAAAACTACGCTGGATGTGCTCATCCTATGGGAGGACCTCCAGTGTCGCCGAAATCCCCATAGGAAAGCATTGAATAATGGTTTCCTATAGGGAGGTATAATGCGCGTGTACGTCCTTTGCCACGTTAGGTCTCCCCCGCTGGCTGACGTCGGCGGGGGAAGAGAGTAGGCAGAGCCTGACCCAGCGCTGAGGGACATCGGCGCTGGACTCAGGTAAGTCACTGAATGTTTTTTAAGCAAGATGGGATGGGGGGTGGGAGGGAGAAGGACACTGCAGGATCCTGCATTGCCAGGAAAACGAATATGTTTTCCTGGCACTGGAGAGTCCCTTTAAGGTTCAAAGCACAAGATTACCCAAACAGGGATTTAAAGAGACACTTACAAAGGGCGCATGCCTAAAACAGATCAGCTTGCTTAAGAACTTCAAGATCCTTTGCTTCAAACAAAGAATTAAGTTGCATTCACACTATCCCAACTCCCTTTGCACATTTAAATGACTGGAGGTTTTTTATTGTCACTCCAATGGCCATTCAAGTATAAGCTCACCTGCCACGTCAAGGCTTTCTGTAAAAGTCAAACACTTGACATGAGTAAAGAGCTTATGAAAAATCTAGTGATTTTAAGCATTTATCTCCCTAGAAATTGACTGATCTCGACAACACACTGCTCCAATAGTATAGGGAACACCCCATTAACCTTTACCTGAAATAACATCAATAACACATAGCGGTTCTGATGTTCGAGCTACCTGAAGTCTGTGGAAGTAATCAGAGTGGAGGAAGCGGCCAATCACCTGCTCGGACCTTGATTTCGGCTCTGCTCCCCTTTGGATTGGTGGTAGTTATTCCAATTTCCACTAGAAGGATTTTATCACTTCTGTCGACTGGCCCTGCTCACCGCTTGAGGCCTTCATATTAATATGACTACTGCTCAGGGACTTATTCACCAGTCCTCATCAATGTTGAAGCTTTGATCAGCTCTGTATGCTCAGGGCTGTATGCAATTTTGGGCTACATAGATACTCTTTACTCATGCCTCTGAAACGCAAGCAGACAGCTCTGCACTCATTAATTCAGATACCTCTGGTGCGTTACCGCATTTCTGGGCCAAGAGCTTCTGATGAGACATCACTCTGGTGCAATCCGCATGCACACGGTGCCTCAGATTGACACTATCGGTGTCGCATTGACGGATCCCATTGAAACACCAATTATGGCGCGCATATGGACTCTAGTT